CGTGACTCTGTAGGAACTCTTGTGTGTGACACACCCCAGCTTGCTTTCTTCTCTATCAAATCTCTAAGGTATGGCGCACGACTTTTTCCGCGTTGATCGAGTTCAAAAAATTTGTCCGCTCTCAAACCGTCAGCAACAAATAACACTAGCCTCTTAGCTGGCGGTTCAAGAGTTGATTTGTGAGGCGTCATACCATGAACTAGTGGAGAAGTAAAATAAATATCAAATATGGAAGCTAGATAAATGATATGAACCAATATTCCAAGCACAAGCAGAGACCATCTGGCAGCCGCCATTTTGAATGATAAGGACAACCGCGGACTGCCACTATTTGTGGGCTCAGATTATGGCCGATGGAGACTGGAATAGAGAGAAAATTCGCGAAAGCTCGAGAGGACTTTCGATTTTTCTGGTCGTACGATCGAGAAGGTCCTTGCAACAACTAGAAATTGCCTGAAACAAAAAAATGTTCTAGAATAGCGAGTCTAGAAAATTCAGGGCCTCATTTACCCAGAATAAAAATAGTATCATTGGTTAATTCGCGAAAATAAATGATGCAGCACTTTCATATTTTTAGAAACATGATGCAAAGGCGGACCTGAGAGAGCTATAAAAGCGCCCAACTTTCATTCCACAATAAAACTTTGTTACAAGCAAATCGAATTCTGAGAGAACGAAAATATCCAAGAGTAATACGAGGAAACCTATCCAAAGCTACGAAGATGCCAGTCCAGTTAGCACCCGCGATTGGAATCGACCTTGGAATAACGTACTCCTGCGTTGGAGTTTTTCAGCATGGTAAAGTGGAGATAATTGCCAACGACCAAGGCAATCGCACAACTCCCAGTTATGTTGCCTTCACGGAAACTGAACGCTTGATTGGAGATTCTGCAAAGAACCAAGCAACGTTAAACCCAAGCAACACTATATTTGACATTTGACGACCCAACACCGAACCCAACAGTGCAATCGATCGAACCGAAACTGGAATTCGCCTTTTCAAGTCATCAAAGAGTCTGGTACCATGGGCCGAAGATAGGTGTACAGAGTAAGGGAGGGTTGAAAACTTTTCTCTTTTACCCCAGAGAAAATGGTTTTATGGTTCCCAAAAAGATGAAAAAAACAGCAGAGGCTTACTTGGGACAGGACAACTCGGATTAATATTAATCCGTGAATTATAATAATAATAGATTATAATATGGTTATTATAATCCGGTAATAGATTATTATAATCCAGTAATAGATTATTATAATCCAGCAATAGATTATTATAATCCAGTAATAGATAAAGGCACGGCAAAAATTGGAAGAATTAGATTATTATTAATAATAATCATCCGGATTAATATTAATCTCTATTATAATCCAGATCAGAGCTATGACAGACAAACTGCAGACATTACACGCTGAACAAGGGACTGACGGGACATAACACTGATCACATCAGTCACACGATCACTTGCATATGTTAGAGCTGGTAGCGATGTTGAGCCTAGAAGTAAATGAAAAGGAACAAGCGCCTCTGGGCCAGCGAATCCGTGCGGTGGGCATGTGTTTTTACAAGAAAGGGGACCTTAAGAAAGGGAATAACTACCAGCTGCGTAGGAATCGCGACAATCCCAAATACGCTAACTGTTTCGAGGTTCGGAGCCGGCATATCACGATGGCGACTATGAACATGAATTTCTCCCGTCTCTTGGATTGCAGGCTGGAATCCGGGTGAGTGCAGCACCGGAAACAATAATTGGAGGAGGCTGGATTGTTGAAGCTGTCGAACAGTCGGCATCATTCTCCCAGATTAGAGATGGCGACATTCTTGTTAAAATGAATGACAAGGCATGTATAAAGTATCGTTATCAACGCATACAGGATATGTTGTCTGCAAGGTCATTTGCCAACATAACTCTAGAGTTCTTCCGTCCAGCTGAAATTGGTGCCAACACTTCAGTCAATCATACGCCTTCGTGGATGCCACCAGCTAACACAAACTCCTACTATAAGTCCAGCATATACGCAGACGGTGCAAATCATGAAATGCTCCCTGGGAAATAACTGCCTCTATGGATCAAACTCAGAAAGACTGAGTCTTTTAGAAATAACTGGAAAAGATTCAAGGATTTCCTTTGATGATGTGCGCACTGACATCCCTTTCACTTTGTTATTTTTTTTATTACTTAAGATCTTTATTCTATTCTACGTTAAAAATCTTCATGGCCCTGCAAAAAATTCAGTTGCAACTGTATTACCAGTAGAGCTGAGACAACTGCCGACTTCTGCTACTAAAATATAATAACGTATAATAAGGAGTGCGGTTATTGACTGACTGTAATTAAGAGTTTTGTTCACAAACTACTAGCACAAGTAGCAAATTCGTCGTCGTTAGAATAGAATATTTTCTTTATTGAGAGACTTGTACAAATTTGAGCTATGTGGGATTATATTTACCAGATTAATATTAATCCTAATCTTTCAAGGTACGGCTCAAAGCTTAGTTATGGGTTATAATAATCTATTACTGGATCTAATATTAGGATTAATATTAATCTGATTAATATTAATCCTACATAAGATTAATAGTAATCCTAATTGATCAAGGCACGGCTCAAACCTCAGTAATGGATTATAATAATCTATTACTGGATTATAATAATCATTAGGATTAATATTAATCCGATTAATATTAATCCGAGTTGTCCTGTTGGGACAGAAAGTCACTGATGCATTCTTACTGTGCCTGCATATTTGAACGGCTCTCAGGCACAGGCCATTAAAGATGTGGGAATGATAGCTGGGCTGAACGTTAAAAGGATCATCAGTGAATCTACGGCTGCCGCTCTCGCTTATGGCTTGGACAACAACCTTCGCGGAGAAAAGAATTTTCTGATCTTTAATTTAGGAGGGGGCACTTTTGACGTTGGTAAAGGATAGCTCTTTGAAGAGCCGGTAATACTGCACGCATCTGGGTGGAGAAGACTTCGAAAATCGTGTCGTGGATTATTCTTCAAAGGAATTTAAGCCAAAATCCAAGAAAGATCTTAAAGAACACCCGAGAGCCTTGCGCCGACTGAGGACTCTGTGAACGAGCCAAGAGATCCGTATCGTGCAGTACCGTTGGCACAAGCAAGCATAGAACAGGGGCACCTAACGATGGTTTCCCCCTAAATACATTGAAAACACTTTCCAGCTTATCCAAAGTAATTTTAGACGTATAGAAATGCATTCTAAGTCTTCTAAGCGGCGCTGTAAAATATGTATCTGTTTGGTCATACTAGGGGAACATTAGTGTTTTCGAAATTACAAGGGCTTCAGTATTATTTCCCCGAAAATTTTAGCTGCAATTTAACGTTTTGCGAAACGGTGAGGTTTTTTCTTATTCCTCTTCCCATCATATTTTTGGATCCGAAAATTTTGGGTTTCCTTTTTCTACGAAGATTAGCCTAACATGGGGAGTAAAATGTGAGAAATTAAACTTCCGAAAATCGTAGAGGATATGCTTCGAAAATTGTACCTGAATGGAACGGTCATCTAGAAATTTCTAGCCGTCCTCAAGCAATAGAAAATTCTAGGCAATATTTGCTTCTCCGAACAGATAATTCACAGAAAACAGTCGTTAGGTGCCCCTGATAGAGATCGATTCACTTGCAGAAGGAATTGATTTTTACATCAAGATAACCCGTGCCAAGTTTGAAGAACTGTGTAATGATCTGTTTCGTTCGTGTTTGGAACCGGTGGAGAAAGCGCTCAAAATGCTAACCTCGACAAGAATTGATCAGATACATGAGGTGGTTTTAGTAGGAGGTTCCACGAGAATCCCAAGGGTACAGCAACTTCTTCTGATCAGCCGTTTTTTGATAACAAACAGTTGAACAAGACCATAAACCCTGACGCGGCAGTAGAATATGGTGCTGCAATCCAGGCGGCTATCTTGTCTGGGGACCAAAGCTCTGAGATGAAAGATGTTCCGTTTCTCGATGTTGCACCCTCACGCCTTGGAATCGAGACCGCTGGTGTAGTGATGACTACACTGATAGCGCGCAAAAGTCGCATCCCAACCAAGTCTTTAAAAGAGTTCACAACTTACTCAGACAACCAGCCAGCTGTGACCATTCAAGTGTATGAAGGCGAGCGAGCCATGACCAAAGACAGTAACCTTTTGGGGCGATTTGAGCTGACAAGAATTCCTCCCGCCCCACGAGGAGTACCCAAGATTGAGGTTTCCCTCGATATCTATGCGAATGGAATCTTAAATGTGTCTGCCAAAGACCAAAGCACTGGAAGAACCAGTGCCATCACCATCACCAATGACACCGGAAGGTTGTCTAAAGCGGACATCGATCGCATGGTGGCTGAGGCCGAGAAATGCAAGAAAGAAGATGCGGTACAAAGAGAAAAGATTACCGCACGAAACAGCTTGGAAAGTTATGTGTACAGCGTAAAACAGACAGCAGTAGATCCAGATGTTGAGAACAAGCTGAATAGTGCTGATCTTGAGACAGTGAAGGACAAGAGTCGGGAGGTGATGGCTTAGTTGGAAAGAAATTCCCTGCAGGCAGATAAAGAAGAATACAAAAAACAGAATGATCTTCAACGAGTGTGTTCTCCTATAATGACCAAGCTCCATGGACAGAAGCAGGCACAGCAGTGTAACAGCTCTTCTCGGAATGGACCCACGGTAGAAGAAAAGGACTAAACTGTAATGGCGGTACTAGTGACAGTGCATATGAAATAGTGAACTTATTTACAGAGAATGTTGGTGCATTTTTTAGCATCGTGTAGGCCAAAGAATGAGCTTGCAAATAACATTACGTCCACTGCTTACCGTGTTCAGAACACTAAAAAATGTTTACTTTCTATAATATCTTTACTTTTGATAAAACTAGTTATTAAACGTGGTATATAAAGAGCTAACTTGCAGTCAATTTTGCATTTCAGTATATGTTGAGAACATGTACGCGTGCCGATAGTTAGTAATTACAATCGTACAACGAAGAACAATAAACTCTGAACAAGCTGTTCGTTGTTATATTTCATTTTATTGTTGCGGAGCGACCGTAGGGAGCGAGCAGCAACATAATCAGGATTTAAGGGAAATATATAAGGTGAGATCACTTTTTACCAGAATGCATTGCATTTAACCAGAGTGCACTGCGCTCCTTTTTACCAGAATGCATGGCGCCACAAATAAAACATGAGGAAGTTCGGTGGGTAAGAGCGTGCATCGTTCGCTTCTCAGACTCAGAGTTTTCTTTGTGGCAAATTTTCTGCAGCAAGGTTAGAGGTCTTACCAAATTTAAGATGCGAGGCAGTCTTTCAGATGAGTACGATGGTTAACTAGGGGATTGGATTTCAATTCAAGAGCCTTGGACTTGTCCATACGTTAAACTTGACGAGAAGATGAGCATTTGCTCTCTGACTCAGCAACACGGGGGATTCAGCTTGCTAGAAAGTGATGTGAAACTGAGAAAATTTCATGCCATGCTATTCTTAAGAACCTGTATGAGCCGAAAATGGATGTGCTTTTGACCATTAGCTTCAAAATAACAGCGGAAATCGAGGTAACAAAACATATGTTTTGCGTCCTACTTTGCAGACGAGGACGTGTATCGGAGTTTTGAAAAGCGTAATTATNGCTTCTCAGACTCAGAGTTTTCTTTGTGGCAAATTTTCTGCAGCAAGGTTAGAGGTCTTACCAAATTTAAGATGCGAGGCAGTCTTTCAGATGAGTACGATGGTTAACTAGGGGATTGGATTTCAATTCAAGAGCCTTGGACTTGTCCATACGTTAAACTTGACGAGAAGATGAGCATTTGCTCTCTGACTCAGCAACACGGGGGATTCAGCTTGCTAGAAAGTGATGTGAAACTGAGAAAATTTCATGCCATGCTATTCTTAAGAACCTGTATGAGCCGAAAATGGATGTGCTTTTGACCATTAGCTTCAAAATAACAGCGGAAATCGAGGTAACAAAACATATGTTTTGCGTCCTACTTTGCAGACGAGGACGTGTATCGGAGTTTTGAAAAGCGTAATTATCTTCTTTCATTCATTCATTCATTGCCATGGAATATGCGTTTACATCGTTTTTTACTGTTAATAGCTCGGTTAATGCGGCTGGCGATCATCTTGCCGGCGGAAGTTTCATGGAAAAGGTATTAAATTAAAGACTTTTCCTCAAGTGATACGTATTCATCCTCTGTGGTGTAGTGGTTAGGTGTAGTCGCGTCGAGCCGAAGGCGCCGGGTTTGAGTCCTATTCGCCTCTTTTTTTACTTCTTTCTTTTTTTTCCGTTTTTTGTGTTGTTGTTTTCTATAAATATATACCTAAATAACTGTCATTTAATAAAGTGCAATAAACAGCAAGAAAAGTATCGTGTTTCCAGAAAAAAGATAGTACACCGTGTATTAAATATATGGATAACAATCTGAATTTCTATCATTTCCTACAATTTACTGTGGGAAAACCAAAGTTGATTACCACTTGATCATTCTCTAAACAACGTTCCCACGAGTTCTTTCTATAGACTGATATTAATTATTACTTTCCAACATGTAAATAGGACATTCAATGTCATTTTCGATTCTTTTAAGTCTCACTGCCTAACTAATACCAGTATCAACAGAATCTGCCGCAGCACTACTATCTTTTAGATACCCTAGTATATAATAACAAATTATAATTGTAACGCTTACAATAAAGATGTTCTTTTAGGTACAAACAAAAGTGTGAATAGTCCATGACTAGTCTGTGCAATCTGGAAGACCTTCGAATTATCATTTATTATTATTTTATTACTATTAATCTCATTATTAATGAT